TCCCTATCTCCACGCCCTGCTAGATGAGAAGAGGGCGATAAGGTGTCCCCGAGCTCTATCGCTCAGTACTCCACTCCTTCGGGTAATCCCTGCTGCTCTCCGGGACCACCTCTCCGAATGAAAGCTGGAAGAATCGCCTTCGCAGTGCTGTTGCGGAGATATAGAGACTAATCTGGGAGGGGCTGAGGGACTTCCAGTCTCATTTAGATTTGGGATTAAAGTCACCGTCATGCGTTACACAAACATCGTTTATGTATTATTGCGGGGGATAGAAAATAGGTCGTTTTCCCCCAACTTGCAAATTCAACGGAGAGGGAAATAACTACCGAAATACCTATGACTCAGGGATGTGCCCAGTTAAAAGCCGAGTCAAAAAACACCCAAGGGTAAGTTAGTACCAGAGGGTTCGGGGAGGGGCCATAAATTTTAATTGGTAGCCCAGTGTTTCAGATAAGCAACCAGAAAAGAGGCAAAATGACACCAAAGTATGTAATGAGGGTGCAACTCCTTTTACCACCCACACTATCATGTTCCTCCTACGCCTGGTCATTTCTCCCCTCCACTGGAAACCAGAGTGCAAGAGCAAGTATCTAGAAGAAGGGCAAGAGGATGCAGCATCTTCTTTTTAAATATTACTTCTCATTAGCAATATTATAATCCTTATAATATTTGGATACAATAAGTTCATTGAATAAATATTGGTCAAGCACTGTAGGAGGTAGGCTCCGCGCCTGGCGGATGAATCAAAGGTAAATCACAAACCAAGTCCCTAGGATCAACGCGCCTTGATTCCAGTGATGTTTTTTCTTGTTTTAGAAGTTAGCTAGCAAAGGCCTCATATTTGAATGTAAACATCTTTTAATTGGGAAATACTGCCTCGAATTTAAATTACACTAAGGTTAAATTACACTTAGGTGTATGGTCTATCACTTAGCACATTTGCGTTGTAATTTACCTGTAATTGCAGTTTTATATTTGGTCCTCTGGTAGAGTTCCACTTATTTCTCCAAATCGTCAGCCCTTGGCCAAGGGTCACCTGTTTCTGTGAACAAAAAGTGACAGAAACATGAAAGAAGGATGTGATTACTCTATTTTCCTGATATAAGACTGCATTAGCTCATTTAATGACACTAGAATAGAATAAGTTCAAAGAGAAACCTAAAAAAGAAATTCCAAAAAGAATTATCAGAAGCTATAGAACTACAGTAGACCGATAAAAAAAATGAGTCCACTTAAACGCTATTTTTTTTCAATAAATACACAGTTGGCCCTCTGTATCCCCTGTGTTTTGCATCTGCAAATTCAACCAACTACAAATGGAAAACAGTGTCTGCTACACACAATTGGGAATATATGGATGCTGATGGCTAATTGTATACATTGTTCTATGCCATTTTTTATAAGGGGCTCTAGCATCTGCAGATTTGGGTATCATCCAGGGTCTTGCAATGAATCCCCGTCTGATACCAAGGGACACTGGGGAGCCAAAAGGTATACCGCGATTTTCTACTGTGTGGGAGTCAGTGTCCTTAACCCCTACATTGTTCAAAGGTCAGCTATATATCAAAGTATCCTTTTTCATGATTTATAGTTACCAAAATCTCATATTAGGTTCAACATTTATTAAATATCAAACTTTTTATAAAGTTCTATGAAATGTATGAACTATTACAGATATATCTTAGTCCTTTGTGGCTTTAAGATATACTTATTTGTTATTTCAAAATTCTGCCAATTTCCACTCAATTCTAAGCAGTATTTTTCAAAAATCATTTACTCAGATTTTCTATGTTTTTATCAATGTGAAGGGCATGTACTACACACAAAAAAAAGTACATATGAAGTTGAGACCTTGTAAAATATTTCATTGCTTATTAAAGCATAAAAACAAACAGTAAAAACATGTTGCTATTTCGGCAGTTGGCACCAAAGATAAACATTTTTGTGTTCCTACTAATTAAACTTGGAGGATAGAGATATAATGCAATTAAAATAATTGAAATACTACATGAAAATGTTATGTACATGAAGTAAACTGTAACCATCCTTTTTTTAATCATATGGGTTCTGAGTATATACTGAATTGGTATTTTCCCCCCACATCCATGATACAGTCAGTATCCATGGTTCTCAGAATGATTAAAATTTATCATAGCTAAGACTATAAGCAGAGATAATAGAGTAAGTTATGAAAATAGTGACAGTGTATGTGTGTATATATATATATAAATTTGTTGCTTATGTGAAATTCAGATACTTAGTGTTTTATGAAGGGACTTTTTAAAAACATAAACTAGATCACAAAGAGGAAAACGGTACTAAAACCACCATATTTAATATCTAACTATATTAAACTCTTCATTTAAAATGTTGCCTGCAAAAAAAGATTATTTACAAATGAAAAAATAAATGTTGCATTCATAAATCTTAACTTCTTTGGATATGAATCTCTGAACTGATTACATTCACCTATCTTACATGTATCTTATATAAAATTAACGTATTGGGCAAACAACAACCAGAGAACTGAAGAGTAATGTAACAATAGATAAAAGTAATATTTTAAAATTAGAAGAAAATCTTATTCATAATATAAGGAAACCTCAAGAGAGGTTAATGTTTACAAAAATGTAAAATATGAAACCAATAAAATGTAGAAAATCAAACCAATCAATAACAATTTAAATAGTTCCTAAAGAACAATTGCCATTTGATGTAAACAAGTTTGTAAATGAAATCTAAAAATTTCAAGGAACAGATAATTCCAGGGTATCAAGGGTGTAACAAAGACCATGATATATAACCTCCTAGAAATCACAAAAAATGACAAATTGCCAAATTTATTATGGGTTGTTATAATTTCAAATAATCATATATAATAATGAAGAAAAGAAAACTAAGAAACTTTGTCTTTCGATGATGGATTTGAACATCTTAATTGGATTCCTAGAAGATACAGTCAACTATACAAAGGTGAATAGAAGACATATAGGTTACTTGACCTGTCTGTGCCTCAATTTCCTCATTTGCAATTTGAGGATTATAATAGTAACTACCTCATAGGATTATTATGGGGATTAAATGAGTTAATATTTGTAAAGTGCTTAGAACGATGCAAGCGTGCACCTATATTGGTGACATAGACATACAATCTAAAAATGGAGATCTCTTATACCTTACTAAGAAAAAAATAACATCCATTGTTATACCCAGGTTAGTTACAGATGATGCTTTGTATACATATATCAGAATGGAATAAAGTACTGATTGACATCTTTTTCTGACCCTGTGGTGTTACTAGTCTGGAAATTATCATGAAACAGTACACTTTTGAGAAATATTTACCAAATTTTAGGGGGCCAAGTTCATTGATACCTTCATTCTAGGCTGTGATTCTCTGAACACCCCCTGTGGATGTCTGCTTAGCTACTGGGTTTTCTGTCCTGCTCGGCACTACCAATATAGAGAAAGGAAACTTATGGAGAGGTAGCCAGGCCAAGAGAGCGAGGATGCCTTATCTAAAGTCCCCATCTTTGGCTTCAGAGTTTGGTTGCAATGGCCAATGAGAAAATAGGTAACATATGGACCACCAAATCATGGAGTAGTCCATTGGATGGGAGGTAGGGTGGGATGTAATTCAGACGAAAGATAAGTCTTCCAAGGGACCATTAATGTTTACTGGAACTGCTTAAGACCAACGTCTTTGCGAATGGAACTTATCGTGGTCACCATCTGGTCACATTGAATCTATAGAAAAGATGCAAGGTCATTCATAATGAAAGGAGACAGCAATCTCGACAACGTATAGAGAGACAAATTCTTCTCTGCCTGTCTTCCTTTTCAGACACCAGAGGAATAAGTGGAAGGAGGGAAGTGTAGAGTTCAAGAAAACAGATCATGCCTTCACTACACCCGCACGCACGCACGCACGCACGCACGCACCAACAGCCTCCTATCTAACCTGCGCTAGTGGAGAAAAGGACTGTTTAAATAACTTTAAAGGTCCAAAACATTATGGAATTGGATTGGGGGATTTTAATGTGGAACAATTGGTAGCAATTAGTGGGGGAAAACCTTAGAATATACCCTTCCAATGATTTAAGACTTCTCACGAAACCAGTTACATATTTTCTGTAGTCCTCAAAACAATGTCATCAACAGTTAATATCAGTTCCATTTTAAAGATTGAGAAAGAAAATCCAGAAAAGTTAAGGCCATACAGGCAGTAAAGAGCTATAATTTAAATCTGATCTACATGACCCCAAAGCCCATGCTTTTCTTATCATGCTTTTTAACATGTTGCAAAACAAAAATTATGAGAGGCTTCTTCAGATGCCATGTGAGAAGGAAGTACCTAATTATAGTATAGTGTTTAGGGTTCAGCTAAGATTGGAAACCACGTGACATTAATCTGTGGTGTTATATGATTTTCTTTAGCTGCAGCCAGCAATTTGAGTATAGGAATAAAGAAGGCACATAGAAAAACAGGGTTTTGCAGAGTGGGCACTTGGAGACAAAGGAACAAGGAATTTAAGGATATTGGCTGGGAGCTGATGAAGTGGTGGGGAACTGAGGCTAGACTATTTGGAGGAAACAGTGAAATTAAGAGAGGGCTGAAATATTGAAAATAGGGTGAGGGAATAAGGGACTGGAAGTTTCACAGGAAATCAAAGAGCGAATATGAGAGTAAGGGAGTGAATGGTGGAAAGGTGGAAAAGTGAATGGTAGGACAGCATTAGAATGAGTGGGTAGGATGTTGAGTTTAAGATTTCAGGTGGGGTAGCTGAGAAATTAATCAATGAGGCAGTGTTTGAGTTCCATCTCTCTGATCTCCCTTTCAAAATGATCCTAATGTTCAGCTGCACAGTCTGCAGTTAGCTGACAGCCTCCAGCTGTCAGCACCTGTGGGCTCTGCCTCAACTTTTAAGTGGA